CCGATTCCCCCGCTGGTGTGACCACTGTGTAGAGTATGGTAAATGAGCTCACATTTCTTGTGTCCTTTGGTAGGATTATGCCATCATCATTAAGTCTTGACGAAGAGTAAAATGCAGACATCTTCTGCTGAACCAAGCCAGCTGTTTCTGATGAAAATTTTTCTTTGTCTTCGCTCGTTATTAGATCTCCCTTTTTCGACAATTTGTCCTGAAATACAGTAATAGAAACAATCATATTTAAACAGCAAGAATGCCAAAGCTTAGTACAATGGGCTAACAGCTCATTCCCATATGTAATTCGGTAATGATTATGGGACTATTACAGACTATTACTTGTACAGTAGTTATTAGTGTGTTATCTTATTTTAATATTTATTATATTATATTTCAGTGGCGGATTCAAGGGGGACCCAGCTGGCCCGGGCCCCCCTAAATTTTTCAATATTGTAAAACATTTGAGAAAAAAAGAAAATTACATTCAAATATTAAGTCTGAGAGCGCTATTTCCGGCATTCTAGAGGTGACAATTGTAAATTTTCTTACCTCAGACCCAACCATAGTAAGGCTGAGGTGGTATAGACCCTCAATCTGTCAAAGTCCCTCCTTAGGCCCCCTCTATTTCAAATTCCTGGATCTGCCACTGTATTTGTTGTAAAAAAAATAATCCAGGAAATTTTGATTTACCTTTATCAAAGCATTGGTGACATCATTTTGGTTTGCCAATCCAATCTGTGCATTTGGCCAGAGAAAATGAAATCTGGGATCGAATGACCTTCCACACTACAGTAGAATATAAACATGAAATACAATTTTACAGAATATAACACCAAACCAATTTAAAATGACCCTTAATTAACAATACTTTTTAGTTGGCTTATTTTTAATTATTAATATTTTATTCATTCATCCTGTGATTTAAATTATAAAATCATGAAATACCATGGCAAAACTGCTCAGTCCGAAACTTCCACCGACAACCACCGATATCTTTGGAACTGCTGCACATGCCACAACAGCAACCATTTTGGCCCGTGCGCGAAGGAGGTCACCCAGAGACTCACTGTCCAGCTTGCCATCGATCTCTGGATCTTCCGGAATAGTATTTTGCAAAAATATGATGGGTATTTTCCGTTGACAACAGATTTCTACGAAGTGGGCACCTTTTAGAGCGCCCTCATAGCTCAAGTGTCCATTGTTAGCGATCATTCCAACCAAAGTTCTAGTAAAATGAAGAATAACAGATGAAAATTTCTTGGATTGAATTAATCTTACAGAAATGTTTATTGAAAGTAGAATTGTTGGATCCAGAGGGTTGTAAAAGGGGTGCTAAAATAGGAACACACCAAACCCAAACCCAATCCTTGATTGACACATCTCATTTATTTATTTTTATTACACCGGATACTGTCCTGAAAACTCCAAAAATAAGATGTGCATATTTCTTCCTAATTTATATAAATTTAAGCATTTACAGTAACCATCCCATAAAATTATATTTTTATTTTCTCCTCTGTTTGGATGTTTTTGGCAAAACTAGTTACTAAGTAAGAAAAAAAATTATATTTTTATTTTTTTCCGCCCTCCTCTGACGATCTTTAAAAAAAAAATTCACAAAACAAGGTATAAAAAAAAGTCTCACTTTATTTGACAAAAACATGTGACATACCTAAATATGGTCATGATGACATCACATCATGACCATACATAGGCACACTATGACTATATATGGGCACATCATGGATATATGGGCATACAACAGTAATTTGATATAGTGGACAGAGCTTAAGAGTTTATTATTTGATTACATAACAAAATGTACTCACCCTTGAATAGTGGCAAAACCAGTTACTAATGCTGGCCCAAACTTTTGTTTAAACTCCTGAAACTTACTACCATCTACTATCCTTGCAAGAATCTAAAAATAATAATTTTTCTTAGTTATTTTTTAGTCTGTTTAACATGAATTTTATCATTGTGCGCAAACTGCAAACATAAAGGTCACATCATTTCTCCCAATGCCACAACCTAAAAATGAATACCACAGGAAATGCAATAGCTCCCAGGAGGCTCCTTTGATGCATGTCACTGACAAGAGCAAAGTGGGCAGGTCGGGTGTTGCTCAAAGTGCTTCGAAAGATGTCCAGAGGAAAAGTCCCCAAAAAATATGACAATTTAGGGGTTTCAAAGGCTTATCCAATTGATTATATAGATAAATAAAGTTACTAATATGTAGAAAATATTTTTTTCACCCCGACAACTTGTGGTTTTTCTCCCAAAGAGGGGGCCCTGGCCCCAACCCACTCCCCCAACTGACGCCACCCCTGCTTTTATGAGACAACTAAATGAATGTAATTGAATGCACTGATTACTAGCTGTAACATTATGGAATTTGTTGCATGAGTGTTTGATGCATTGGCCAGATAATTAGTGCATAGGCCTCTACTGGCAGGGGAAAATGATTTTTTTTTAACTTGGCCTTGTTTGATCAAGCAAGTCAGTGCCAGCAAAAATTGCATATCTGAGTCATAACAGAGAAAAATATACATCAGCACTTTCTTACCTTGTAAGGATTATAATCTTGGTCATAACAGTGTCGAGGTGCTAGCCCAGGCAGGTCACTTGCCGGAAAGATAGGTTCAACAAAGTGTTTAAGGTCATCAGGATAGGGCTCATTTAGAGTTTCTATTATATTTCTTCCTACTTCAAAAGCTTCATGTTCCGTTTCTGCAAAATGATCAGCAACTCCGCTTACACTGAAAAGGTCATGTAAAACTTCCTGCATAAATTATGCAAATGATTTATGGAAAGCAAGTTTTTTTAATAAAATATAAGGCCTAAATTAAGAGCCATATTAATTTTAGCTGGTTTTGTTTTACCACAAATGTTGCAAATTTTATATTGTCCACCTTAATAAAAACAATAAATTTTCTCAACTTATTTTCAAATTATTAACATTCAATTTGGCAATTGCTACAATTGTTCCCCATAAGAGTGATTTTAAGGGTCTACACACATAATATAGGAGTACTGTATTACTTAATCATCTGGGTATTACATAAATATAGTAAGTAGAAATAGAAATAGAAATTCATATATCATACTTACATTTTTTTTTGTCCACATTGCCAAATTTTATTTGACAAAAACGGCAAATCATGACTATGTGCGTAACAGTTTTTTGTCAAATAAAATTTGATAGTCTGGACAGGGCTTTATGAAGTATATTTTTACTAAAAGTATGATATTCAAATGAAGACATTTTTTTAATCAATATATAAAAGACAATCCACCTGCAATGCACAGTGGCTCCACCTAGCTCCTCTGCGGACACCCTCTCGCCGATAGCCGCATGCACAAGTGGCGGTCCTCCTAGAAAGATGGTACCAATACGATGCACCATCACTGCTTCATCTGCCATACTAGGGACATACGCACCACCTGCTGTGCAAGAACCACAAACAATTGCCACCTGCCACAAAAATTATGTTAATTATTTATTCTGCTTTGCAGGATTTGAAATGGCAGAGATCAATAAAGAATAATAAAATGGGCACAGTTAAATAAAAGTGAGTGCTATTTTAACAGCTGAACTGTTGTTTTTTATGTGATGAGCAATGCTGGCTTCACCGGCAGATTTTTTAATTGGATTTTAATTAATCTCCCTCTTCTACTTCATTTACCACGAACACTCCTGTTCCAAATACATGAGCATGAAGTTGCATACCCTGGTCATAAACTATCAAGAGAAATGAGGTAAGGGCGAAGTATAATAATGTTAGATTATGGATGTGTTTTATGCCTCATTCCATTCATCTGTTTAATTTGTACCGTTCCTCCCGGCTTGGTTTGCTTGTTTGTTTTGTGCTTTGTTTTTGTTGTTTATAATTTCTGAAGGTTGTTATTTTTGTTATTTAAGATTATTTTTGTTATTTAAGATTAATTTAATGTTTAAGATTAGTGCAGGGGCTTAATTACAGGCTTTGGCCTCCTTGGTTCCTGGCACTTGTTGTACAGTAGTTAAGAAACAAGTGAAATAAAAAAAGACAGAAAATAAAAATATTTAGCACCTGTGGAATCTTTAATGATGACATAATTGCTTCATTGTAGAAGGTTCTTCCTCCATGTTCTTTATCTGGAAATATCTCATCCTAAAATATTCAAGGAATAATGTTATATTGTTGAAATAAAGTTATAATTATATAAAATCATACCAGAATTAATTTAATACATATTTTGGTGAATATGGGCCCTTGAAAAATGAATATAATGAACTGACCTTTATCTCCTTTTTATATATAATTTTTGGTTTTTAAATATTTAAATTTATTTTCAAATACATGACAAAATTATAATACTTCAACATTTATAAACAGTACAGTAAACTTTGGGCAAAGCACTTTACTTATGTTCGCCTCTTTCCACCCAGGAGTATAAATGGGTACATGGTAGGATGGTATGTCATTGAATGCATGGGTTGTGCATGTTCAAGCAGCAATGACCAGGGATACTCCTGAGGGGGCAGAGAAAGTTGCACAATGTGCGGATCTGCCAATTCAGTATCCAGTGACCAGTGAAATAATGATGCCAGCGCCTTGTATAATCACTTGTAAAATCTGCAGATTGTGAAAGGCGCTATATAAATTATTATTATTTTAAAAAAAAATTTTTTAAACCTGGAGGGGAAGAAAAGCACCACCACTGTCAACAAGGTAAACGGATGGCAGTCTATTATGCAACGAAATCTCTTGCACCCTCAGCTGTTTCTTGACTCCTATTGGGTAAACAGTTCCTCCTTTGACTGTTGCATCATTTGCACTGACAGTGCACCAGTGACCACAAATTTTACCAACCACTAGAAAAAAAAAACAATTAATTGAAATATATTATGTATAAATTACTTTGTTTATTATGAGCCTAGGGATAATTATCATGATAGACCTAGGTATTATTTGACATTCTGAAATGTGTAAGTAAGGTAAATACTTGTGAATATGTGGTAAATAAAATGATACTAACTTATGTATGGAGATACACCTTAAAGATGATAATAAATATTTGAGGGAAAAAAATGCATGTCCCAACCATGATTCGAACCTAAGAGCTTCTGATACTCTACCAAGTGGTCGATGAAACCAAATGATATACACCATTGGACTTTCCCATTACTGATCATTTTAACACGTTTTTTTCAAGGTATAGCGTGTAATATGCATTGAATAGGAGTGCTGTGAAAGTGGTAATAGGCTAGTGGTGTAAAGAAATTATAAAAAGAAGAAAAATTGATGGAAATTGGTCACTGTTTGCCTCCTTAATGAAATACCCTGAAGGCATGCCAAGTATTAAATTAGAAACTGGAAGGTAGAGAAAACGATAATTATTAATATATAGTCCAGGCTAATTTACCATTGACCATGCCTGCAGCTGGTATGTCTCCATAGCTCATTCCCTGTCCAGCTAAGGGAGACAGTTCAAGAAAGTCTTCATCATCTAGCAAACACCTTATTCTATCTCTCACAAACATCTTTTTATTTACTTCAATATGTTGCTTCATTCCTCTTGCACCACCACCACCATAAACAACGGACATTAAATTGCAATAAAATTCCTCAAGTTTTTCGCTGTTTGCCTTATTTTTTACAATCGAATTTCTAGATTTATCTACCCCTCCGTCAAGAACTTTGAAATTTGAATATTTCGTCCGAGCTTGTGTTTGATTCGATGATTCTTGTTTGGAGCTAGGCCTAAGCCCATTGTCTCCTCGGTGAGCTGAAATCTGCATGGCTGCACCGTGCACCGCGGCCCACCACCACTGCTTCACTGACAGAAAACTTGGCCTAGCCGGTATTACCGATTTCCTGGGAAATATATGTCTCGATAAATACATTTTTGAAAGGCACTTGTTGCAAATTATTGTATCTGTAATAATTCGACTAAACATCTCGATTTCCTGAATCCCTGTTAGTGATGTGATTGATACTGAAATGGGCCCTAGGCTAAGCCTGGGCGTATGGCTCTCCTTGGATTTTTTTTTTTGGTGATTGCTTATTCGTACGGTCGTCGTCGACACAATGGTTATCTAGTATAGTATCTTTGTTGACACGTACAACCTACTTCAGTATAAAACTAAACTATAGAAAGTAAAGAAATTAGTGGCTCACGAACAGACATCTACAGTATTATTTTAAACCCCATAATTTATTTTAAATTGTGGCATTTCGGTGACGATATTAAATAAATGTGTTGTAGGCCGATTTACAGTGAAATAAGGGGCCCGTGAATATATTATTTTAGACAGCCATTTAATCTAATTCCTCCTTAATTAACTACCTATATTAAGGACAAGAATTGTTGCTATTTTGTATGTCCTGTAGCCCTAAACTTAGCTGAATCATTACAACGAACTGGACCAACTACCAAATTAATTCTAAATGTAGCAATTATGATTTATACGCCAAACGAATTTTAAGGCCGCCAGCACGTAATTTAAATGTGTATTAATAAACTAAAAACTAAAAAATTTGTGTAGTTTGACTTTTTATATTGGAATGATAACAAAGAAACCGAAGTATTCCTTTTATTTTTCGCTGTAAAATTATGAGTATTTATTTTAAATACACTAATTTCTATGTTTAATTCAAGTTAAGTTTTATGTTACTTTTATGACTTTTATGATATCTGTTAGTATTTTTCATGGACAATAGTGTAGGCCTAACAAGGTATTTGGAATAAACCAGTACAACCCGATTTTTATCGAACGGAAGACCAAGGATTGGTCCATGATTGGACAGGGCGGTGCAATACCGTAATGATAATTACATCAAAAGCAATTCAAGAGAGAAATAAAAGTGTGTGTGGGGGGGGGGGGTCTTCAGTCTACTTGTTTCATTTAGTTTCTTTGCCATACGAATTTTGTGTTTTGTCCATGGACTGTATTTATATTTTTGAATAAGTCGTCGATACACAACAAAGTGGTTTTCGTAGAACGATTGTTATCTCACATTCACTGGTGTCCTTGGATTCAATTATGGGTAAACGCATTATAAGTTGCCTTTTTTATGAGGTTTTAATTGTTCTTTACCGCCGAAAGTGCTGTATTCTAACGTTAGTTTAAGGAGGGCTGGTCGGCCTATGGACGTTTGTTGTAGCGTTAGTATTGATTCTTGGTTTGATGGTTTGATATTGGTCTTTATTTGGTAATATGACCAATTTGTGTAAATGTCGAGGCTCTTATAGTCTGAACTTCAACAACTGCGCTACATGATTGGGCTTCAGGTAGCAATATGAAGCTTAACCCCAATTCAGAAATGTTGTACTACCCAGGTAGCAAGCAAACGTGGGCCCCATATAGGAAATGAATGGGCCAAATTGTGGGCCCCCCCTACAGTTTGGCATATACTGCAATGAGCTGCCTGTGCACCCTAAATCCATAAGGGTCCCATAAATTTTGGCCCAAATGGAAATGTTAAAGGATATATTATTAATAGCTTATAATTATAGACCAAAATGCTCATATAAACAGGACTGTAAGTGAACAGTAAAGTCTTAAGCCAAATGATGTGTGAAGGGGTATGCAAGTCCCTACCCAATGAAGATACAGTAAAATTATTATCATAACGATACTAATACAGTATATTATATTTAATATATAAAATAATTAAACGAATAGGAAGAGTATAATTGGACATTAGTTTTAGCAAAAGGAACTTTATTCCTTCATCTATTGTTATCAATGATCATGTTCTGAGAACTGTTGACACTGTAAAAGTTCTTGGGGTTATACTTCAAGCTAATCTTAAATGGGATTCACATGTTGATTATATTGTCAAAAAGGCTAATAGTAAATTATATATTTTAAGAGCCCTTAAACACCATGGTGTTCCTCCTGTAGACCTTATCACTGTTTACATGAGCACTGTTCCTCTTATTTTAGAATATGCTGTTCCTGTGTGGAATAGCGGACATACACAATTATTGGATTCCCGCATTGCTAAAAGAGGGCATGTAAAATTATTTTAGGTAATAAATTCATATCTTATGACGATCCATTATTTGAATTTCATTTGGACAAACTTCGTGATCGACATAATCTCTGTGGTTCTTTGCTAAAACCCTTATTCATCCGTATTATAAACTTCACGCCTTGCTCCCTCCCCCAAGTGTGAACTCCTAGGTCCAATAGAAGTTGCCACAAGTCTCTTATTTTTTTATTATTTTCTCATTCTGGACAGCGCCACCAACGAGAAAGTTAATTTAGAGACCATAGAGCTATTATTATTATATCTCTATGTTAGAGACGGAATCCGGAAAAAAAGGAATCGAGTATGGGACGCCAATTAAATTAGGTACTGCGCGCACTAAATGCAATAAAGAGTTAGTAACCCAAAATTAGGGCCTGGAACCCAGGCCAAGTCCAATACTAAATTTACCATTCCTCGTTGCAGAACTAAAAGATATCAAAACAGTCCATTACCTTTCATTGTTAATTTAATTAACTCTATCGATTTGTAACTTTCTTCCCCCTCCCCCCTGGGGATTAGTGCCAGTGGTAAATCATTGGTTCAGTGATTTCGTATTTTGGTGTAAATTTGTTAAACCTTTTTTCTGTTATTTTAATGTATGTAGTTTGCAAGATTTTTTTTATGTCTGATCTGTTTCATGCTTTTTGATGTTTTCGATGTTGAGCGTAATTTGTAATTCTTTAATTTAATGGTTTTGATGCAATGAATTCATTCAATTATTTAACAATAATAATTATAATAAGTATTATTATAATAACTACTGTAGCAATCATTTATAATTATATAATAATTAAAAAAATAACAAATGATTGCTATGGTAATTATTTATAATTCTGTAGTTTTGTCTTGTTTTTTTATCTAAACAATTTTATGAAAATCTTTATGTATATTTCCTATTTTGATGTAACATGTACTTCGTAATTCAGCCTTTTTGGCTGCCATGTTTTATGCTTTTTGTAAATTTTGATTTTTTGAATTTTGAATAAAATACCATATAAAGCACATAGGGCGCCTAAGCATCAAGTGTTGTGGTCTGAGTTGGCAAATCTAAGGAGAGGGGGTTGGGGAGTACACAAGAATCGATCCCCAGCAATTACCTCAACTCATCCAGAAACAGTTCGCTTTCCAGAAAAAATGCTCCACATCCTCCGATTGCAAAGTCACTCAAATAAAGGGGTGTGACCACCCTTTTTACACCACCCCCACCTACGGTTTAAAAAATATGTATCTCATTAACCGTTCCCGAGCTTTTCGTCAAAAACTACAGCAGCAGTTGCTTAATATCGCTAAAACAGCAAATAGTAAGTTATGCCCTTTTGCCATGGGTGGGCAGGACTACGGTACTTATACAGAATTTTACTATATTATAGGTCTAGACTAAGACCAGGCCTCCTACTATAGTATAGAGGCCTAGTCCAAGACCTTGTTGCAAATCCTAACCCCCATAAACGTACATAATATACTAATAGGCATACATAATATAATAATAAATATATAACATATAATAATAAATTTAAATAATATAATAACAAACGTAAAATAATATAATAACAAACGTAAATAATATAATAGCAAACATAAATAATATAATATTTTTTTGTAGACTTAAGACAGCTGGGGCTTGCCATAAGCCTAGCCTATAATGCCTAGTTAGGGCTCGTGATCGCGGTACCTTAATTTGTCCATGCCCTGACCATTAAAAATTAGCAGACGCACTGGGAAGCATTGTGCACGGCATTGGACTGCAGCGTAAAATGATTCCCCCATCATCAATGGAACAGGCCCACGTCATGCTTGTCTGATTAGTTTTGATCATAGAGCTATCTAGAGTGCTGACAAGATGGCGCAGCAATGCAGAGTTATGTATGTGTAGTACCATCCAAGATGGCCGTCGTAGTAAAGCGCCACCTTCAGGCTTAGTATACATATTATTACATATTAATAAGCCCTCTGACTGACTGTTTTTTCATTAATGATAATGAGTAATGGTAATAACAAATTATTATACTATTGTAGCCAAAACGAGGCCAAGTGGAGCATCTTATTCAAAAATAAAGTACCAAGGAATGAAAATTAAAATCGTGTACATTACACCCAAACACCACAACGCTCGAGTTTCAAACATACGGGTAACTAGCTGTACTGAACTTTCTGAGTAAATTTCAAACTTTGGTGCTTAGCGAAATTTGATTGGCTAAATCTATGGCAGCCATTTTGGATGGTACACAGTTCTGCGTATTTCGAACATCGAATACATAGCGGTTAGCGCTCTCGTATTCATATTATATCTCTATGGTTTTGATTTACATTTCGCAAGTCCATGTTCTAGTGTTGTTGTAAAATGCATTTCCAAACCAGGCTGTTTTTTTTAATTTACGTTTTGGAATAGAATTTGGAGAGGGGGGTTTGATCAAGTCAGACCTAGGTTTTGAATTAGAATTACATTATTGAAATTAAAACTACATTTTGCTGCGTATGGCACCCCATACTTTTTATTTTAACGTTCCATTGCCTGTGTACAAAGATACTAGAAATACAAGATAGAGTTCTCGCATTGTAAAAATGAGGCGGAAGTCGTGCCTAACGTAGGCGGCGCCCTTCTTTTTAACCATGCAAGTTTCCTATACTTCGTGCCCAACGTACAGGGCGCCCTTCTGTTCCTAAGTATATCCAGACGCAAAAGGCGCCCTTCCTTTTCCACTAATAGAGGAAAACTTTTTTACAGAGTGCGTCCGGCCATGCGATTCTGCGCTGTATTATTGTTCTATTCTTTACTGATTCATGATTATGCTTTAATTGTTTTGTGTATTGTTTGGATAATAGCAACGATTTCTACCGCCACCAAGGAGGTTATGTATTCACCAATGTCACTGTCTGGGTGTCTATTCCAGTTTGTATTTATATCTAGTATCTTTGTTGAGAATCATGATGATAAAATACGCGACGACTTGGTAACTAAAGTTTGGCACAAGTTTTTTTAGATCCAGCTGTAGGGGGCGTCCCATTTTTCGTATTCCCAC